TTTGTTTGTTTGTTTGTTTGTTTGTTTGTTTGTTTGTATGTTGTTTGTCTATATGGCGGCGGTCTCTAAATAATCGAGTCTGGACCAGACAATCCAGTGATTGATATCATGAGCATCAATCCACACAATCGGGATACGATGACATGCATCAACCGAGCCAGAGAGCCTGACCACCTGCTCCTGTCATAGCATCCTTAAGATAAGCATAGTAGCCTTTAACGACAAGCATGGGTTGCTGAAGACGTATCCTTAACAGGTCTAGTTATAATGAGATTATTTTTTTAAACGGATTTAAATGGAAACGCTAACAAATAATAAAACTCAATAGAAAGTTTACCCATTGTTATTTATGAAATTTGATAACAGTTGCATGTATTATTTTATTTAACTCCCTTGCCTCGGAAAGATTGCCATCGTATCCCAATTGCGTAGATCAATGCTCATGATGTCAATCACGGGATTGTCTGGTCCAGACTTTATTATTTACAGCAGTCACACAGCTGGAATATTGCTGAGTACCGTTCGTTGGAGACCAATTCTGACCCGGATATTCACTGGGCAAAATGTGGACAAGTGACTGGGGTGTTGTGCATGTATAACATTATTCCACCAATATCAGGGCGGGGGGCAAGAATGGGTTCAACGCAGGGGATAACGTAACACAAGTTGTGCGTGACAAGCCAGCGGGTGAAACACAAGACGTGCCCAGTAGATTTGGAGGATGTATTGATTACCTCCCTTATTAAATGTTAGAACTAGGGCACAGTGACATGAAAACACACATTGCGGTCAACTTCCCCGGTCGTTCCTCCTCCAAGCGTCATCTGTTTCACTCCTCCCGGCTTGCGAACACGGCCTTGACTCACATATATATGTATACACACACACGCACATACATACAATAAAATCCCGGTTCGCCCCGATTATGTTTCTAGGTTTGTCAGCACCATACCCGTGCTCGTGGGTTTCACCGAAGTGGTAAACGTCTGAGATCTGCATCACTTTGGGCTTTCCTCCCACATGAAGCTGACACGCCGCGATATGACTGCAATACTGTTAAAAGCGGAGTTAAACCAAACTCACTTACTCACCCATGCATTCTTCTGACCTTGAATATGTTGTTTGTTTTACAAATACTATCGTTTAACTAATAACAGAAATGCGGATTTATAATGGCAATTGAAACACGTTTCAACGTTGCCCAAACCGTTTATCATACGCTATCTCGCCATCGCGCATCAATGATTTATTCATTTATACGTCAGTAGATGATTTTAAACTTTCATGTGAGGAAAGGTATATAGTTTTATACAGTATATACCACTACCAGTCTCTGACTATTTACGTCTATGTTATAAATATGAAGCTTTCCTTGAATCAAAATCCTAATTTATCTCAAAGATATATTTCCAAGCATGATCAAATGGTTTGTACCAGAACTGTTAAAGAAACAAGAACCTTGCAAAAATCATCAAATACTTTGCAAAAACTACCTTTGGGTATGAGTGTATCAATGTGTGTGCTGAATGAGTTACCTAATGATTGTACAGCATAACCGACATCATGTTAAATATAGATTATTATCATGTGAAGAACATTTTCTCCTGTACCACCTCAAAGAGTGAGTGAGTTGGTCATAACACCGCTTTTAACAGTATTCCGGGTATATCGCGGCGTGTCAGCTTAATGTGGGAGGAAAGCCCGAAGTGATCCAGGTCTCAGACGTTTACCACTTCGGTAAAACCCACGAGCACGGATATGGGTATGGTGCTGACAAGCTTAGAAACATAATCGGGGCAAACCGGGATTCGAACCCACAATCATAGGTATCTTATGTGCCCAAGTGACGCAACTCTGCATGGCGAATCGCGGCGCCTTACACGACTTGGCCACCAGTGCCTCCGTTTTTGAAAAGAAATAATGTGATTGATTGATTGATTGGTAGCGGTGTTAGTGAGCTGCCAATGAAGGGTGTAGCACCACTGAAAAGAAACGTGTCATAACAGTTTGTTTTTAAAACAAAATATAGTTAAATCTAAGGTTTCGTTCAAAGAATTGTTTTTCATGCAACCTGTCAGTAAGTGGCTGGTTTTGTCAATACACATGTCTCTGAAATTATACGAAGATGACAAGTTAGCGTACTCACTTATTTCGGAATTGACACTGAACCGGTTTCGCTGACCCGTGATGTGGTGACATTGTAGATTAAGCAACTCACATACTCATGTGTTAGAAGTTATATATTTCCTGATGTAATGTGAAATGACCAAGTACTATAAACAAATGAAGTTATGTAATATTATGCATCATTTTACTAATATTCCGTACATATATGTATTTGCAGAACACATGGTATCTTTAAAGTTATGAAATTATCAAATTTAAATTTGTCAGGTCACACATTGAGATGAGGTGAGGTGAAATGGGGTTTATCGTCGCGTTGAAGATTATTGCACTTATAAAGCGACGTGCATGCACGTGTGTGTGTGGCTGCTTGTACTAGTCCGACTGATGCCGATTTATAGTGCTAGCTCACTGAGATACCATGCCGCAGTTTAACATGAATCTCCCGCTCAGAAACAGTATACTGACTCCGACCGACCAGTCCTTGTTTGAACCCCTTAATGCCGAGCGCCAGACAGGGTAACAACAAGTACCATCTTTTAACGTCTTTTGGTACATTGAGATGAACATGTTATTGGATCGAGCGATCCCGTACACCCACCACTGATTGATAAAATGGCAGTGAGCTGACTTCATGGATACTACCCGTGTGGTCACGTGATGGGAAACTCAAGTGAACTCTAGACTGTTGCCATGTTAGATTCCAGTGTTTCCGTTTGGCCCGCTGCCAGGTTAGATGTAATGCGATAGTCACGTGACTCTTAGCTCCGGATTACACGACTCTGACACAGTTCTACAATTACCAGCTGACATGGCGAGTTTGTGTGTGTTGGTGCTGCTTGTAGCAGCCTCATCTGTGGTTCAGGGACACGAAAATATTGCAGCAGTTGTCAGTCAGATGAGTTTACTTGAGAAAGAAATTAACCACCTGAAAGTGGAATTGAACCACTTGAAATCTGACGTTCCAGGAATGGAGACGAGAGTCATAAACAAGATGGACATTTTGGAGTGACTGCTGAGATCGGATTTGACGGAGAAGATTGTACCTTCCTATATGCGTAGTCAAATAGAGTCGTTTGATGCCACTTTAAACAGTCACGTGATGTCCCAGATTAGACACCTCAAGCGTGGATATCAGCAGATGAAGCGACAGACACTGAGTCTCACAAGACAGTTGAGGGAGGTCGGACAGACTAAAACACGACAACCACTGGACACTGTGAAAGACAAAGATGCATGTGAACAGCAGGTGAGTGAACTAAAGACAGAGTTGAACCTGACACGTCATCACGTGACCCATGTTGAAAAGAATGTGAGTTTACTTAAAGATGACGTGTTAATCGTCATACGACAGAGTGCTGACGTGCAAGCACAGATTAATGAAACCCAACGAAACGTTGAGACTCTTGTAAAACAGAACGTACGTTTGAGAAATGACTTGATTGTGATTAACGCCAGTCATGCAGAAGATGTGCAGACATTGGGAGACTTTCATCTGAACTACGTAAACAAGACACGTGACCTTCAGACCAATGCTGACAGTACACAACCCACCCAACATTACACACCCACGACTCCATCTGGACGTCCCTTCACGTCAGTGGCTACAACACCTACAACACGACAGTTTCAAGACAAGACGAGAATATTGGTTGTACAATATGGCTATGGCTCCTTGCAGCATCCTCATCAGATTACCATAGATAATAACGACATGAAGACGTATCCTTATCTGCATACATCATACGTTCATGCGCCAACATACGAGCCTGTGTCCAGGAGACTGATATTCAGTGGATATTCACCACGTTGCATCTTCTCCTCAAGGCTGGACGTGTCGGGAGTCACAACACTACGAGAGGGAATCGTGTCGTTCGGAATGACAGTCGATGTTGACAGACGACTCATCTTCCTTACCACATACAGTCCGACGAAGACAATCAGTCGTATGTCCACATTGGGGAGAAACTTTCAGGGCATTGTGGACTTGCGTAATCACGGAACATCCAATCCCCGTGGCATTGCTGTAGACTCCAGGAAGAAGATGATCTATTTCTGTAAAGATGATGACGGGTTGTGGTCTGTTGATTATGATGGGAAAAGGCTGCATCAGATAGACATGAGACGTGACCTTCATGCTGTTACTATTGACACTATACACGGTGTCCTATATTTCAGCGACAACAAGAAGGTGATAAAACGATCTTTATCAACTAATACTACAACGGAAATGTTGGAATTCAGTGATTGGATAAGAAGCCTTGTCTACTACAACAACAGCCTGTACATAAGTTGAAAGAATATTGATGTCATATACCTGGAAAACAACGTACATTTCAACCTGAAGACAATGAAGCATAGTGACAATTACATGTGTTTGATTCCGTGATCACATCTGTCTTAAAAGAGACTCCTACACGGTACTTTAACACAGGGACATCGTAGGAAAATGGAAATATTCTCACAACCAGTTACACAGATTGCCACAAGTTTTTAGATAGAGCGACCATTATTTTGAAAATAATACTGTTACACAGAGTGTAGGACGTATGTTGAACACTTCAGGGGGCGCTCGTGCCTAGCAGCCTTAACACCGCTGCCACCAGAACCGAATTACTTTTAGTCTTAGTTTGTATCTATGTCATATGATTATTGAAATGTAATGTGTAATGCATGTTGTAGTATTGGTCTACCGAATTTCCTTCTGCTGAATGATTACCCATAGTTAGGGAACCGGGGGTGGCGGGAAAAGCTGGGATCCCTGAGGTGGCGCAGGAACCTGTTTTGCCTGGGGAGCTTGCAGGACCTGGGCTCCCTGGGGTGGCGAGGCAAAAGCAAGGGACCCTGAAGTGGCGGGTGAACCTTGTGTCCCTGAGATGGCGGAGAAAGCTTGGCTCCCTGAGGTGGCAGGGAAAGCTGGGGTGGCAGAAAAAGCTGGGCTCCCTGTAGTGGCGGGGAAATCTGGGGTGGCGGAGAAATCTGGTCTCCCTGAGGTGGCTGAGAAAGCTGGGCCCCCTGAGGTGGCGGGGGAAGTATAGGCTCCCTGAGGTGGCGGGGAAACCTGGGGTGCCTGGGCGGCTGAGGAAGCTGGTCTCCCTGAGGTGGCGGGGAACCTAGGCTCCCTGAGGTGGCTGAGAAAGCTGGGCTTCCTGAGCTGGCGGGGAAACCCAAGGGTCCCTGAGGTGGCGTGGGATCCTGGGCTCCCCGGGATGTGGGAAAACCTGGGTTCCCTGAGGTGGTGGGTGAACCAAGGGTGCCTGTGGTGGCTGAGAAAGCTGGGCTCCCTAAGAGGTTTGGGGAAAGATGGGCTCCCTAAGGTGGCGGGTGAACCCAAGGGTCCCTGAGGTGGCGTGGGATCCTGGGCTCCCTGGGATGTGGGAAAAGCTGGGTTCCCTGAGGTGGCGGGTGAACCTGGGGAGGCGGGGGAACCTGGGCTCCCTGGGGTGGCGGAGGAACCTGGGGTGCCTGGGGTGGCGGGTGAACCTGGGCTCCCTGAGGTGACGGGTGAACCTGGGGTGCCTGGGGTGGCGGGTGAACCTGGGGTGCCTGGGGCGCCTTGGGTGGCGGGTGAACCTGGGGTGCCTGGGGCGCCTGGGGAGGCGGCTGAACCTGGGGTACCTGGGGTGGCGGGTGAACCTGGGGTGCCTGGGGTGCCTGGGGTGGCGGGTGAACCTGGGGTGCCTAGGGTGCCTGGGTGGCGGGTGAACCTGGGGTGCCTGGGGCGCCTGGGGAGGCGGCTGAACATGGGGTCCCTGGGGTGGCGGGTGAACCTGGGGTGCCTGGGGTGGCGGGTGAACCTGGGGAGACGGGGGAACCTGGGCTCCCTGAGGTGGCGGGTGAACCTAGGGTGCCTGGGGTGCCTGGGGTGGCGGGTGAACCTGGGGTGCCTGGGGCGCCTGGGGTGGCGGGTGAACCTGGGGTGCCTAAGGTGCCTGGGGTGGCGGGTGAACCTGGGGTGCCTGAGGCGCCTGGGGAGGCGGGTGAACCTTGGGTCCCTGGGGTGGCGGGTGAACCTGGGGTGCCTGGGGTGGCGGGTGAACCTGGGGAGGCGGGTGAACCTGGGGTGCCTGGGGTGGTGGGTGAACCTGTGGTGTCTGGGGTGGCGGGTGAACCTGGGGAGACGGGGGAACCTGGGCTCCCAGAGGTGGCGGGTGAACCTGGGGTGCCTGGGGTGGCGACTGAACCTGGGGAGGCGGGTGAACCTGGGGTGCCTGAGCAGGCGGGTGAACCTGGGGTGCCTGGGGTACCTCGGGTGGCGGGTGAACCTGGGGAGGCGGGTTAAACTGGGGTGCCTGGGGTGGCGGGTGAACCTAGGGAGGCGGGTTAAACTGGGGTGCCTGGGGTGGCGGGGGAACATGGGCTCCCTGAGGTTCCGGGGTAAGCTGGGCTCTCTAAGGTGGCGAGGGTCATAATAATACTGTACACAGGCGACCAAAAAAGAGAATTAATTGCTAATACAGAATGAGAATGATGATTTGCAAAATGCAAGAGAACGAAGCGAGAAACGACATTCGTGACTACTTTGGAAGTATCCTGATTTATAGTGAGTCATTAGAGAGCAACCATTTGCTTTTCAAAGAGGGGTGGGTGGATTTTGATTTCTTTCTCGATTATTCAAGAAAAGGGCACAATACATATTTTCGGCAAAATAAGGGCTTGATTATTATATAAGAACTCTCCCCGACCACCAACCACCACCCCCCACCCCCCACCCCCTAACACACACACACACACACACCTCATTAAATCAAATGGATATACATTGTATTTGAAATATTGTTCAAAGCCGCGTCAAAACCCACCGCACCCAAAACAGACCTAATTAAGGCACAGAGATCCTTGGAAACCTGTGGTGCCACTGCAGCATACATGACCATACACATTCACTTAAACACATACCGACGAGAACTGTGATTGGTTACCGGTGTTTGATGACTCAAGTGTAAATAAAAACGACAAAACCCTTTCCTTAATCTATTATGATGACATCACGCCATTGTTCTTGCAGTTGATTCTGATTTTACGGGTCATTCTGAACGTGCATTTTGAAACTGACGCAACTACATGTCTTTATACAAAATTATAGAGGAATTATGTTTCAATCACAACATGGTTTAAATCAGAGCGTGAGTGAATATGGTGTTACGCTGCTTTTAACAATATTTAGCAAAATCACGACTGGGGACACCAGAATGGGCTTCACACATTGTATCTATGTGGGGAATCGAACCCGGGTCTTCGATATGACGAGTGAAGGCCTACTAGGCTACCCCACCGCCCATGAAGTCGCCTGAATCTTTTGATTCCAGACGAATTATCTCTTCACTTCGGCGAATTGTTCGCGATAGAATGTTGATATAAAATGAATAATCTGGAATAATTGCTGCTTGGCCACCGTCACATCATTACACCGCCCCTGCTGTGTAGTCAATGTCAATGAACATTCTCCAAATAACTACTCACTGACAGAAACAGTTACCAAGTTACTAAGCGAAATTCACTGCCCAATCAGACTCAAGGTTGTTACGAGATTTTACCGATCAGTAAGTAAATATTTGCTAACTAGACTAGTACATGTGGTCTATCGTAGACTAGTGCAGTTTACTTATCAGTTATTAAAGATTACTATCCGCTTTTCAAAGAATCTTCTCATTATTTACTAATTTGCAATAGTATATTTACAGAGCTTGTATGGTTTACTACACTTTAATAAGGGCTTGTTTCGCGATCCCTATTGATAGCTGCTGAATACAATTTGCAAAATACAAGTAAAAAACATGGAAAATACAGGTGATAGATAACATATCAATATTTTTAGTGGCATTTTAAGTTTAATACTACGTAACCGTAATTATTTGTTTGTTTGTTTTTTGTTTAACGCCGCACTCAGCAATATTCCAGCTATATGACGGCGACAAGCATAGTCGCCTTTTACCGCAAACATTGGTTGCTGAAGACCTATTCTCTACCCGGATCTTCATGGGTCAAGTTGGTTCCAAAAGTAACACGTTGTAAATACATGCTGACGGGGATTATAGGAAATATGGAGACTTGAACATTAATATATGTTTACCTGATTTTTTTCTCTTCAAAGATTAATCTAATTGCTTTAAATAGGGACATTCTTTTAGTAACCTGCTGCAACAACATTATATGCATAATTTGTTTTTAAGGATTTTACGGGTGGCCTCGGCTCCATTATTTTGAAGGAATGGAGAGTTACTCGGACATTCCCCTCTGCATGGGATACCCCTTCTCTCCACCACTGGAAACCTGGGCTCCCTGGGGCGACGGGGGAACCCTTGTTCCCTGGGGTGGCGGGGGAATCTGTGGTCCCTGGGTTGGTGGGGGGCCCTGGGCTTACTGGGGTGGTGGGGGAATCTGTGGTCCTTGGATGGCGGGGAACCTGGGCTCCCTGGGGTAGCAGGGGAACGTGGTTTCCCTGAGGTGGCGGGGGAACCTGGGCTGCCTGGAGCGGCGGAGGAATCTGTGGTCCTTGAGATGACGGGGGAACCCTGGCTCCATGGGGTAGAGGGGGAACCTGGGCTCCATGGGACGGCGGGGGAATCTGTTGTCCCTGGGTTGGTGGGGGAACCTGGGCTCCATGGGACGGCGGGGGAATCTGTTGTCCCTGGGTTGGTGGGGGAACCTGGGCTCCATGGGACGGCGGGGGAACCTGGGCTCTATGGGACGGCGGGTGAACTTGGGCTCCATGAGGCGGCAGGGCAACATGGGCTCCCTGAGGCAGCGGGGGAACCTGGGCTCCCTGGAGAGTCGGGGTAATCTGGGCTCCCTGGGTCGGCGGGAGAATCCGGACTCCCTGGGATGGTGGGGGAACCTGTGTTCCCTGGGGCGGGAGGAAAACCTGGGCTCCCTGGAGCGGCGGGGGAATCTGTGCTCCTTGAGATGGCGGGGGAACCTGGTCTCTCTGAGGTGGCGGTTGAACCTGCTTCGTCACGCCACGCGATCCGGAAAAGAGGATGATACAGAATGAGAATGATGATTTGCAAATTGCGGGAGAACGAAACGATAAACGACCATCATTTTGTTTAATGTTTAGGAGCTCAAGTACTCTTTCCAATACACTGACTTCTCGATACGTCAATACAAGAAAAGGGCACATAACATATTTTCGGTAAAATAAGGGCATGATTATTACATTAGAACTCCCCACACACACCCTACCTTTATTGAAAATGAAATGGCTATATTTGAAATATTGTTCAAAGCCGCGTTTAAACCAACCGCACCCAAAAATCGACCTCATTAAAGAACGGAGATTCTTCCCCGTTTTTAACCTGTTGCGTTCGCTTGTATCGGGACACATCTTCTGGACATTTCAGGATATCAAGGAGACCATGATCAACGGGGACTTTGCTGTGGGGTTTTGGTGTTTGTTCTGAATAATCATGACATATTGCACGTAAATAACAGACAAGGTGCTCATGTTAAGGAATCCCGAATGTTAGAATCACGAAATATCGCGATGATCAATAAACGACGAGGAAAGCCTTTGTGCTGATACTTATAAAGTAGGTCAGCTGAAGATCCGGGTTAGAATAGGCCTTGAGCAAGAATGCTTGTCGTAAGAGGCGACTGAAGGGATCGGATGGTCAGGCTCGCTGACTTGGTTGATGCATGTCGATGTTCATGGTGTTAGTCACTGGATTGTCTGGTCCAGACTTGATTTATTTACAGACCGGCGTCATATGGTATGTTTATATCTGAGTGTGGCGTTAAACAACAAATAAACAAAGCAGATGATTTGTCATCAGTTCTCAGAACTTTCTACTGATGGCTTCTGATTTGTAACTCATAAAATGGAAACAAGCCAAGTCGGGATAAACATCCTTTTGATCACGTGGTTACAATCCGGGTAAGGGTCCATGGTCAGGTGACTGCAAGCGGTCATATTTAGCAGTGATCTTGGTCGGAGGTTTTTAAAATACTACATCTGCACATACTTTTCTTACACTTCGTGCCGGTAATGTACGTACACTGAACACGCTGCAAAATATAGTCGCTTGTAGTCACCTGACTGCCGATTCTTAGTCGGATTGCATATTGGTTTTAACGCCGGTTTAAACAGTTATTTGCATCACAGCTTGTAAGCTAAATGTGGGAGAAAAGCCCGAAGTAATTGGGGACATAATATAATGGTCGTTTACTTCTATGAGGAACCGGGGGTCAGTTAACTCCCTTGCCTCAGGAAGATGACATTGAGCTGACACGCCGTGATATAACTGGAATACTGATAATAACGGCGTTAAACCCAACTCACTCACTCACTATGGCAATTATACATTTCCTAAATTGACACCAAACTCAGTGTTCACTAAATCTTTGGGGAACCCACGAGCAATTCGCGATGGAGAGTTGACTGTCTTTGTCGTGACAGAATCGATTTATCGATCCCTATATTCACCTGATGAATTATGGTTTTATAAGACAAGGGCTTTAAATATACTTACAATCAATAGGTATTTGGAAGGTTTTTTTTATTTTCCTCGTAAATTATCCAGGCATTTTCATTATACGAAGGAACAAATGAATAGGTAATGATATCTTCAATGTGATCTTTAAAATCTTTGATAAAATTATATTCCTAGTTTATTGACAGGCCTCCGAGTGGTTCAAGCGTTTGGTCGTCACGCCGAAGACCCGGGTTCGATTCCCGACATGGGTACAATGTGTGAAGCCCATTTCTGGTGTCCCCCGCCGTGATATTGCTGGAATATTGCTAAAAGCGGCGTAAAACCATACTCACTCACTCACTCACTCACTCACTCACTCACTCACTCACTCACTCACTCACTCACTCACTCACTCACTCACTCACTCACTCACTCACTCACTCACTCACTCACTACACACCCCAGTCGCTTGCCACAATTGCCCTTTGTCACTGTTGGAATAAACAGACAAGGGTGTTCATTCATGCCTTGTATGTCGTTTTTATCGTTCACCGAGGTTTCTCCATGCAATCTTCTGAGGGCACGGGTGGCCCAGTCGTCTAAGGCGTCGCTATTCCCTGTGCAGAGTTGCGTCCCTTTGGCACGCCAGAAATCCCGGTTCGCCTCGATTATGTTTTTAGGTTTGTCAGCACCATACCCGTGCTCGTGGTTTTGGACCGAAGTGGTTAACGTCTGAGACCTGTATCACGTCGGGCTTTCCTCCCACATTAAGCTGACACGCCTCGATATGACTGGAATACTGTTAAAAGCGGAGTTAAACCAAACTCACTCACTTACCCATGCATTCTTCTGACCTTGAATATGTTGT